CCCCACCGTGGTCGTGATCGTGGTGTAGTACTTAAGCATCAGTAAATAAATCACGTCGAGCTCTTACCAGCTGCCATGAATTATGCCAGGCGTTTCAGACTTGTTCTCCAATTTAATCTTCACAACGGCTGCATGGGATTGGTAATGTTATCTTCATTTTACAGATGAGAAAACTGAGACTCAAAGAAATCAGGTGATTTGTCTGTGGTCACAATTCCATTAAGAGTGGTTGAATTGGGATTTGAAACCGGCAGCGTGACCCTGGAGGCTGCAACAGGCTATTTTCTTGGGTAGTGATTAGTTCATCTGCAGTAAGATGCAGTACTAAAATAGAAAGCTCGTTAGCTAGCAACTTCCACATATATATGTGTGTGTGTGTGAATACATATATATATATATATATACACTCATACATAATATATAAATATTTTAAATTATAAAAATTTCCTTTAGAGAAGGAATGTATTTTCCTTTTTTTGTAATTAATTTAAAATTTATAGCCACCCATGTAGTTAAACAGATTATGTCTCCTTAAAAAAGATGTGTATAGGCCCTCCCCTGGTGGTGTAATAGGTTAAAGTGCGACACTGCAAGCTAGCTGCAACTGCTTCAGTGTGAGTTTGATCCCTGGCCAGGGAGGTGACCCACATGGCGCGGCAGACCTCTCCTGACTTGCCTGCTGCTCCCCTCAGCAGTGTATTTCGTCAATCTGCCTGTTGTGCTCCCCATACTCTCTGGGTGAATCCTCTCATTGCCCCTGCACTTCTGGCCTGTACCCCAGTTCTGTATGCATAAATAAATAAATCTTAAAAAAAAAGATGCTGTGTATGTGTGTGTGCATGTTTTTGCACAATGCACACTCAGGTACACACATATCCATACACAGATGGATATGTATGCGTAGATACAGAAATATACCCTCTGTAACGGGTATCAAACAATGTAATCTGAAAAGGTGATGTTCAGTCACATTAATTTCAGATTCTCAGGAGATGTAGAAATATTCATCTAGCTGAGACAATGCGGAGCTGCTTTTGTTGGACTAGGATGATTTACTCTCAAATTTCTACCTCTAGCACTCAAAAGAAAATGGTTAATTTATAAAACAGAACTATGCTAAACTCGAAGTAGATGAATAAAATAGACTTTTTATGATTATGCCTAGATTTATAGGATACATCCTGACACTTCATTTTTATTTAAAAAATAATAACTAACGAGTGAAGCTCTATGTAAAGTTTAACTGGAAAATATTCTCAAAAGATTGGTGATACAATTAGTTTCACCAGTAAAATCTATATAAAATGTCTATTAAAGAGCACGAAGTAGCCAAGGTTAAAAGGATTTAAAAACATAGAACTGATGCTAGCAGCTGTCTACATCTGAGTGGAGTTAGGCACAAAACAATGAAACTAATGACAGGGAAATGGTCTGAATTATTTTAAGCATCTACTATTTGTCAGGTGCAATGCCAGTGGCACTTTCTAGCATTTACCTAATACATTCTTCATAGTAACTTAACCTAGTAAGTATTATTTCCATTTCATGAATAATAATATTAAAGTTCAGTATTTCCAGATAGCATCACAGTATAGAACTGAAACCCAGGTAAACATGGTTCTTTCCATAATACTGATCTACATACATAAATAGTAATTATGAGAGATGTCAACATTTTTAATAACTTGGTCTGAAAATAATTTTGAACATTTTTATATTTACATACACAACTCATGCTCTGTTTTTCCTCTCATCTGATCTTAAAACTTCTTAGAATTCATCCTCCATAGTGATGTGGGATCTTAGTGATCACAGTTTCTCTTCAGTGAGTACCAGGTATTTTACAAGGTGCTTCAATATGTTAATGCTTTAAACAATAAAAACAACCCTATGGAAAAATTGTCCATTTTATAAAAAAATAAGTTAAGGAAGGAAATAACGGTGATGAATCTGAGAAATACAAGAGTTGTTCAACTTCTGGTCATTACTCATATGAAAGGACATACTTTTGCCATTTTGTTGCTTTTCTGTTTGTAATTTTTATTTCTTTATTCCTCTCTTGTTAGCATTGTATTTTATTGATTTTTTGTAGTAACATTCTTTAAACCCTTTCTTTTTCCATTTGTATATATACTTATGTAGTGTATCTGTTATATGGTGTGTGTGTGTGTGTGTGTGTGTGTGTGTATACTATGTGGCTTGTGAAAACATCTATTCTACCCAAAGAGATTTACAGATTCATTACTGTATTTACCCCAAATAGCATTTTTTACAGCAATAGCAAAACCATCATAAAATTCACTGGGAACCATGAAAGACCTAGATTAACCAAAACAATCTTAAGAATGATGACCAAAGCTGGAGGCATTATACCCCTTGATGTCAAACTAAATTACAAAGCCGCAGAAATTAAAACAGAATAGTGTTGGCACAAATACAGAAACAGGGTAATGAAACAAAATTAAAGTCTAGAAATAAAGTAACACATACATAGTCAATAGATCCTTGACAAAGATGCCAAGAACACACAATGGCAAAAGTCTCTTAACAGATGGTATCGGGACACTAGATATCAAAAAGAAAAAAAAAAGAAGAAAAAGCATTAACTTGGATCCTATCTAACTTCATACACTCAATATGGATTAAACTCCAAAACTCCTAACAGAAAACATAGTTTTGAAAAGCTATTTGACATTGGTCCTGGCAATGATTTCTTGGATATGACACCAAAAACATAGACAACAAAAGCAAAAATACACAAGTGGAACAATGCTGAAACAAAAGCTTCTTCATAACAATGGGAAAACCAAAAGAAAAGAGAAATTATGGGATAGGAGGAAATGCTTGCAAACCATATACAAGATAAAGGATATCGTTAGTGCTACTAATAGCAAAGTTTGTGTTGCAAGATCAGTGAACCCTAAAGAACTAGTACAGCATTGTCTATGGTTAATAGTACTGTATTTATACTTAAACATTTGCCAATAGGATAGACCTTACGTTAAGTGTTCTTACAGCCCATACACAAATCTACAAACAAAACCATAAAAAAAAGGAACACAAGGAAATTCTGCAAGTTGTTGGATGTATTTATTAACCTTGACTGTGAAGATGATATAACTGGTATTTGCATATATTCAAACTATAAAATTTTACATGTAAAATATGCAACAGTATTTTGAATATCAACTATATTTCAATAAAGCTGTTAAAAATGTGTTGATACTTGTATATGTAGTTAATCAAAGAGAATAATAAGGGCTCACAGAAAATACAGCTTAGGGTCTTTACCTGGAACTACCCAAACAACTCTCACTATTATGAACCTCAAGTAGTTAAAATATTTCTTTCCATGTTTTAGCCAGAATTTCTTAGTGTCTCTAGTATGCTAGTTTACTACAACTGTGAAGAACATGTCTGAGTTTGCCCAGCAGTTCCAATCATTAACTGTTGTTTCAGCATTAATAGCACCCCTTTCATTCCAACCATACCTAAGACTAAGAGGGGAAGCAATAAATACAGTGTGCAGATTTCCCAAGAAGTCACATGATCAATGAATTACTTGTATCTACACTCCTACAATCTTCTCCTAGATTAGTTGGGAAATGCTGGTCCACTCCATTCTCTGTACTTAATGGCCGAGGAAACGAAGGATCTAAGGCTCAACTAGAAAAAGGATGAGCTAGGACTAAAGCCTGTTACTCTGGGTCTCTCTTTCTGAGGTGCCATCTGATAAAGCACACAGCTCACCATACTAAACACTTGCAAAATGGAGAAAATGCCCTGGGGTTGGGTAACAAGTGTTATGTATTTTCTCCTAATACAAAAATAAGTCACCCAACCTTAGTACAGCCTACTTTTCATTGAAATGGAATTCAAGTTATTTTTTTTTTCCTTTTAAACCCTAGTTGTAGAATAAACTGAAGATGGATTCAATGAGGGAGGTTGCTGTCAACTCTTCAAGCTTGTAAATTAAGTCCATTTATTTCCTACTATCTGCTTTCCTTCCACTTGACCTCTCATAAGTATGAGGTAAATAAACTTTTCAAATCTTCAAAGCATCACTGACCTCAGAGGTGTGTATTTGGGAAGGAATACATCTACTACCCAACACACTTTTCACTGCCTACTATCAAGAATCCCAGAATATTTTATTCCCTTCACCAGTTCTAAGTATACTTGAAAATGAGGATACTAGTTTCCTGGGACATATAATGTCCATGAAAACTCTAAAGAGGTTGAATTACAATTACAACACCCTTTGAATTACAATTACAACACCCTTTGAATTACAATTACAACACCCTTTTCCTGTTTTCTGATTCTGGTTGCACCAAAAGATATGGTCCTAGAAGAAAATCAAGCAAAAAAATTCTACCCTTAAAATTCAGTTTTTCACATTTTGGGTCACACACAGCTACTGCAATTTCTAGCTAACTGTTAGGCATTTTAGGTGATCTAGTTAGCACTTTTAGAGAAGAAAAAAGTGAATGATTGTACAAACTAAAAAGAAAGTTATTCTTATAAAGGTAAGAAAAATAAGCAGCCTTTTCTGAGGGAGAGAAATACAAGTGAAAGCTGACGTAAAGTCTTGGGAACTTTGTTTCTGTGCAGTATGTAGTTTTGCTCATTGCCAAGAAAAAACAATTAAATCTCAGCCAGATGAGATAACCAACCCAATAGATGAAAAAGAACTTTACAAGATGGTTAAGCCAGAAGAACACTTCTAGAGAGAACTGATTCTTGGATTTGTAGATGGCTAGGTAAGATATATGCAACAGAGAAGTCTTCTCATAACCAGAGTGGAAATTGTGATGTGTTGCTGAGCTTTCACTTTGGAACATACCACTCATTTGTGATTAAAAATCTTTCCTATGACAATTTACCACTTAAAGTTATGAATGTAAATTTATCTACTATGCCAATTAGAACCACCTGTTTGTCTTTAAAAAAAAAATACAAATTTTGACCACATCAAATATTTTCATTGAGAAGACACAGACATTCATACAGTTTATTGTGGATGGTATCAGAAGCTTTCCTGTGTATGAGAAACAGAACTACAGGCCTTTTTGTACAAGTTCCTGTATAGCTTGTCCATGCTGTTCTCAAAGATGGGTCGATGGGATTTTCCTTTATAAGAGGCTGCCCTGTTGGACCAATATTCGCCATCATCCAAATGGAGAGTACCATGTGGCCGGTGAAATGAGCTATTAAAAAGGATATAAAAATACAAAACAAGAGTTAAATTAGTGATCAACCACATAAATCCTGTGCTGCTTAGTTTGAGGGTATGTGACACTGTTTGGGATATGCAAAATAAGATATGAGCAGGTCTGTGTTTTCAAAGAGTAATAGTGTTGGCATGAAACTGAAAGGAAAATTGTGTGTGACAGATAAGTGTTAAAATGGAATTCAGAGGAGAGAGCTGAAAAAACAAAGCACTATTGGTAAGGGATGGCCAGAATGGGAATGGCCTGTAGAACTGAAAGTGAATTCCAGCTCACCCTTTTATAAGCCACTGGATCTTAGACAACTGCTTAAATTGCTGGGTCTCAGCTTCCTTAACGGTAGCATTATCATTTCAAAAATCAAAGAGAATCAAGATAAAGTATATAGTATAATGCTTACCTTGCATACAGAAATTACTAAATAAAAGGCATGGATTTGTTGTTTATTTATCAATAACTCTTATAATATTCTGAGGCTGGGTGAAGGGAAGCCCACGGGGATTACAACTGGGATGGAAAGAGGCACAAAATGATGTAAAAAAAACTATTATATTATTTAAAAAACCCCAAAAAACCAAGAGTCTACCTTGTGTTTTTTAATGAGCTACTATTTTACCATATCTCTAGCATATTCATTCAAAGCATTTATTAACTCATACAACATTCTATACTACATCAGTGTTGTTCACAATAAAGTGGTATCTTCAAAGTCATTATCCTATTGTTATTTTTTTAAATGTAGTATATTTTTTGAAAACTCAGTCTTCTTGAACAGAGTACCCTCTACTTAATGATGACAATGCTATTAACAACAACAACAACAACAAAAAAAAACAGCAGAAAAAGAGCAGGGGCCAGGATAATATCTGAACACTGAGCAGTTTCAAACCCTAATTATATGGTGTAACTTATAAATTTATTTTTAAAGCTAGCATATAAACAGAGAAGAGATAGGTCTTAGGCAACTTAGTATGGACATGGAGACAAAGGGCATTAACTAGTTTCTTTGCTTAGAAAGGGAAAACTCACTTCACATCTTATTTTCTATGTCTGTATCCAATGAAGGCCAACACATTATATGTGTCTATGACCTAGATTTCTGTAAGTAGTATGCAGATGAAAGATCTCTATGAGGTAATACACATGGAAAAGAAGGTCAGAAGGAAAGATCGATGTGCTGCTTAAGGAATATTAGTTCTTAGAAATAACTGGGACGGTCATGAGAAGAAGAAGAAAAAAAAAAAACAGCCATTTGCTGTTTGTATTCAAAGCACCAGAGTTAAAAGAGAAGATGTATTTGGTAGACTTTAAAACTGTGACTAAGCATCTGAATAATCAGACATTTATTAAACAAGAGATGATTTTTTTCCCCCTAATACTCAACAGAAGTTTCTTTCAAGCAAAACTTCAATCAACAAAGACAAGACATGCAGAGCAGTAGCAGGGACATGACCTGCACCTCACAGGCAGTGGGTGACAGGATGCGCATGCACGTGACTGGATGGCGGGAAGCCAGGAGTTTTCAACCTCCTGTGAGTTCAGAATAGAAGACTGGGAGATGCCTGTTAGTCTCTAATAACATGGTATCTCTTAAAGCTACCATACAAACACAGAATGTCACCAGGCACATCAAAATTTACTGAATTTTTAGCAGCAGCTTTCAATTTTCATATGTATCAAAACATAGGAAGGGCTTGTCAAAACAGATTACTAAGCTTCACCTTCCTTAGTTACTGAATGAATACATCTGTGGTGCATACAAAGTTTTGGATTTCTAGCAAGTACAAGGAACTATACTTTAAGAAGCACCAAGAGTGTTGGTTTTCTTCAGAACAGCAACAACAAAAGCTTAGAGAAAAAGTTGCATGCTCATTTATCTTGCTTTATTATTAGCAGAAATACTATCTAAGTCTATTTAAGTCTATCCAAAATAGTTACTGACCGCTTGTTACAAGCTTCTTTCTTTCCCTGAATAAGAATGTGTAGAAATCAGCTCTGTAAGACAAATAACATCTCACGGCTTTCACTATTTGCTTTAAGAAGTGCTGCCTCTAATTCCACTGTTGATTCATTATCTGAAGATATTAAATATAGCAGTCATAAAATGAGTTAATTTAAATAATGTCTTAAGAATTTCAGCAATTCAACTGACAACTTTTAATAAAGGATCCAACTTTAATATTTGAACTATTTTTAAAACTGAGCTCCTAGTATACATCAGTTCCCTTGATGGACAGTCAAAAGCAAAGAAAAAATGAGTGCCTTCAAGGAGCACACTGTTAATAGAAGGAAACACACATACTTAATAAAATAGTCATCATTGTGAGATAAATAGGCCTAATTGAAATTACATAGAGGAGAGAAGTGACAGGATAAAGGAGAAAATGTCTAATATCTGTCGAGGTCATGAAGATATCTGGGAAGACGACAGAAAGTGAGCTTAGTCCCTAATGGGCACATAGTCACACGATGAACAGGAAGCCCTGTATTATTCCAGGCATTATCCTGTAACAGAACCACAGCAGGAAGCAGCCTGGAATATCATGAAATACAAAGGAGAAAGAATGAAGATGTGAAGTCAGAATTTTATCCTATTAGGAATGAGGAACCCACGATGGGAGAACACAGAAGCGGTTTCTACTATGAATGGGAGATAGAATTAAGATTACTCCAAGACCACCTTAACCTCAAGTCTTACTTTAAGGATATATCTGGGTAAAGAGGGCAAGTAGTCTTTATGTAAACATATAAGATCAGTACTTTAATAAACTGATATTTTAAGTCTTTTCTTCTAGTTCCCTTACTGTAGGTTAAATTCAATATCACTATCACCAAATAATATCTTTTCATTATGCCTTTACGATTTTCCTCTGTTTCTGGTATCAAGGACTATACATACATAAAAGTGACCTAAAGTATGAAACAGCCAGAATATTTCAGAGTGTTTTCATGTTACCCCATGTTAAATTAAAAAAGAACACACTTTTTATTCCTAAAACCCAGTATCACTAAAACCTAAACACATCTATGTACAATCTGAATATACCATGAGACACTACTTATTATGAATAAGTAACGATTTACATTAGGTGCTAAGAAATTTTTCCATGTCTCATCAAGTTAGCAGTCTGCCTTTCCAATACCCAGTTAACACTGGGAGTGCCTACTAGCCGTAACTTTCACTAAACTGAAAGTTACAGTTTAGTGTTTTACTTTCTTACAGTGAATTTAAAAATGGGTCTGTTAGTGTTGTTGGTCACCATTACTCTTATTGCCTAACATTGTTCCTTTGGGGAACTCTGAGGTGAACACTGGACATGTCCTATGTTAAGGTGAAGCTGCTTTCACCCTCCCTTCTCCTTTAGGGGCCAACTCCCATCTAAAAACACACCATCTCATGCCTGGTCTTTAATTAGAACTAATGCTTAATTGGGCTATTAATTTCTCACCTAGATTAGAATGATATGGATTAAGAACCATACATTGCAATGTTAGTCCATAAAATAGCAGTCCAGGTAACACAGCTTTAAGTAGGAACAATAAAGGGGGAAAAATCTTTCTTCTTCAAGGTATGCACTTTCTTGCACTTTTCCAGTTTGGACTCATCTGTAATACACTGTTTACCTGGATGAGAGGCCCAGGTTGACACTCGATTGGGAGATGATAATTTTGGGAATGGTTCTATGAAGAAGACCCCACACCTTTACAGAACATTTAGCCTAGCTTGCCAGGGTAAAGATCAGAGATTTGAGTCCACAGACCCCGGTAGCAGTGAACATGATTCATTATCTGGAGCTTTCTCCCTTATAACATTCTTACGGAAACTCAAGAAGGTGGAAACCAAGTAGCAATGAGAGGTATAATATGAAAGGAGGCAAGAACATTTAATTAGACAAACCCACAGTTTACATTCAGTTTTCACACTGTATTTTATGGCAATTGACATAGAACTTTCTCAAGGCTTCATGGGATTTGCTAGTATATGATTTTTAACAACATTATGAAATCTTAGACTAGAATTTATCTTTGCTATTAAAAATAAGACTTAGATGTAGTCTAAGACTATAGAAAACGTTATTTGGATTAAAATAAGCATGTCCTGAAATCAGCTCTAGATATGTGGATTTGCAGGGGAGCCTAATACTCTGTAAATATTCACCATTTAATAACTATTTGCTTTCATTAAAGAGTTTCAGTAGTACACTGAATTATTTTACTAGGATTTTAGTTAAAATTATATAATTATTAACAAATAAATAAGTTATTAATTTGATCTTAAAATCTCCAACAATTTAGCAGATTAAGAAGCAGGATTTTTATACCAATTCTGAGAAAGATCTTTTATAATGCTTTTCATACCCAGCAGTAACAAAGTTCATTCCTGAGGCCTCCCTGGTGGCCTAGGGGTTAAATCTCAGCACTACCACCTGAAAGGCCCACTGTGACAGCCTGAGTTCATCCCTGGCCAGAGAGCTGACCCCCATGGTGCAGCAAACATTTCCTGCCCTGTCTGCTGCTCCCCTCAGCAGTGTATTTCAGTAGCTCTGCCTGCTCTGTTCCCCACTCTGTTTCTGGTGAATTCTCACACACCCAAGCCACCCCTGCACCTTTGGCCTGCACCCCAGTTCTTCTACACAGGATAAATAACATCTGTAAAAACACAAAACCAAAATTCATACCTATATTCGGGGTCGCTGTCATAGGCAGAGTCTCTGTATAAAAGACCTCTTTTCAGTTCCAGTTCATCATCTTTATCTAGGTCTCTCTCATCCTTAAAAATGAAAATAGTTTTATTAATTCATTTGGTAATTTAAACAACCTTTATGTTTCTTTGAAAAATGTTCTCCCCTCCTCCATTCTAAGAAATTGAATTAAATACTTGGATTTCTTAAGAAAGAAAAAAGAGAGAATTTATTATTCTGTTCAATAAAACTAGTATAGTTTTATTATATTTTTGCTAATATTGTTTATTAAAGGCGAGACAACCAGTAGATGCTTCTTTAAACAACGAACAAAGGATAATGGATCTGTGTGAAGATATGTAAGAAGATGCATAGCATTATCTCATGCATTGTCATCAGAAATCCTAAACGATTATATTTGTACTTGAAGAGTAAGTATTTGGGTAAATTATGTAGATGCAAGGTATTCATTCCAACACATACCTATGGCTTGTATAAGAAATTACTTAGAATTACTACTCATAAGTCAAAATGCAGAAACAAGCCACATAAGATGAAGCTTTTTTTAAATCTAGAAAGAAACTTCAACATAAGAATAGTGGGCCTGTTTTAGTTTTTATTACTTTAAGTACTCATTCTTTTCCTTATAGAACTCTAGAACATTTCATAAATGAAAAGAAGGTAAATGATGCATTGAAAATTTTGCAGTATTTACTGCAGCTATAGAGATCTGAATAATTAAATTCAGGAAATAAAGTTATTTTTACTTAAATAGAATTCTGTACCCTGCAATGGCTGAGCCTACATTCTTTCCAAGTACATAGAGAATCATTGAAACTAACTATATGCTGGATCATCAGAAAATATTAACAAATTCCAGTGACTATGGAGTGCTTTTGCCTAGTTGAAAGAAATTAAGCTACTTGTTAACAACAACAACAAAATGAAAGAATAGTCAAGTGGGTAGAAATTAAGGAACACTGCTAAATTACAGTGGAGTCCATAAAGAAATCAAAATGAAAACTATAAATATTTTGAAGTGAATAGTAATGCACAACACAAAAATGATGTAGCTAATGCAGTGCTGAGAGAAATTTATATTCTTAAATATAGACAGTAGAGAAGACAAAGCAACAAATTAAGCCTCCGTTATGTTTATGTAATAAAAAGATTTGCCACAGATAAATTTAAAAAGCTCACAGATTATGCTTTAACAAGATCAATAAAATGAACAAACTTTTAGTCAAGATATCTGTAGAAAAAAGAAAACGCAAGTAATCAACCTCAGGACTGAAAGGCAGATACAGCAAAATATTCTATAGCTGTTAAAAAGCAAATAAAGATAGTGTGAAAATCTTTATGTTATTCAAATTGACAATATGGATTTTAAAAGAAATAATTTTTTATAAAACCAAACTCACCAAAATGACATAAGAAAAAAGAAATCTCAGTAGTTGTTATTAAAGAAATTAAATTCACTACTGAAATCTTTCCCACAAAGATAGGTTAATTTAAAACACTTTAGAAATAATCTTACATGGGCTCTTCCAGAATAATTGAGACTATTTTCCAAGTCATTTTTTATGAGACCAGCCAAAGCCTGAGGAAGAACTACAATCACTAATTTGGATGTAAGATAACAGTTAATATGTAATTATAAGGAGGCTACTGTCTCCAGGTCGCTGTGCAAAGATGTGTTTAGCACGTCAAGAACAAATAAGAGACAGGATTTTTTAAAAGATACAATTTACAATTGCATAAACACCAAATAGAGGAATGAATCTACTGAAAACACACAAGACTTCTAAAATGAAAATGGAAAAAACTAAAGATCTAAATTAACTGTGTCACAATTTTCAACAATCTGAAGACAATGTTGAAAAGGATGTCACAACTTCCATAATAAAGAATAGAATTACAGTAATCCCAGTTGAATTCCAGGCAGGTTTTTTGAAACTGGCAAGTTGCTCCTGGTAGGCAGATGGAAATACAAAGGATGAAGAAGAGCCACAGCAATCTGCAACCAAGTAAAACTGACCACCAGATATTAAGTCATTAAAAACCGACAGCAGGGCCCTCCTTGGTGGCGCAGCACTGAGAAGCTAAAGTCACTTCGCATGAGTTCGATCCCCGCCTGCCCCAGACCCGCCTGCCCCGGAGGTGACCACATGGCGTGGCAGACCTCTCCTGACCCGCCCGCTGCTCCCCTCAGCAGTGTACTTCATCCATCTGCTGTTCTGCTCCCCACTCTGTCTCTGGTGAATCCTCTCACCACCCCTGCACCTCTGGCCTGTACCCAGGTTCTGTATGCACAAATAAATAAATCTTAAAAAAAAAAAAAAAAAAAAGACAGCAATTGACAGTGTGTGGTAGTATCATGGAAAAAAAAAGACAATTAAATCAACAAAATAGAAGAAAACGTAGAGAGAGACCTATTATCTATATACAGCATCATTAAATAGAATAGAATCCAGGACTATCTTCATTTAAATGCAGTGGGTAAAAGAATGGCTGTTTAAACAAAGATGCTAGATTGTAATCATATGGGGGAAAACATGAACCCTAATCTAAATTTCCCACTATATATAAAAATCAAATCCTCATGCATGGTATATCTGTATGTGAAAGACAATATACAAAAGCCACAGATCAGTATATAGTCATAATATAAAACATGTCCATCAGAAAAAAATCCAGGAATGAAAAAAAGACCTTAAGAGATACATGGCACACAATGAATAAAGCTAACGTGTTTTTGAGAGAAGCACCTCAAATGCCAAAAGAACAAGTAATATGAAAATCACACTTAAGTATATGTTGAAAATAAAAGACAAAAATATCCTTAAAATAACCCAAGAGGGCCCTCCCTGGTAGCGCAGCGGGTTAAAGCACAGCACTAAGAAACTTAAGCCACTTCTGCATGAGTTCGATCATCCCCCCCCCCCAGATGACCACATGGCGCAGCAGACCTCTCCTGACCCGCCCGCTGCTCCCCTCAGCAGTGTACTTCATCAGTCTGCCTGTTCTGCTCCCCACTCTGTCTCTGATGAATCCCCTCACCCTCCACATCTCTGGCCTGTATCCCGGTTCTGAATAAATAAATAAATCTTAAAAAAAAAAAAAAAAAAAAAAAACCCAAGAGGGGAATTCCAGGAAGTTGCTTGTGACAGGTTGTGGTGGCAGAGTATTACTTCCCAAAGATATGCATGTTCTTACGATACAGCATCCAGAATTGGTGGACTTGTTACTTTGCACGGCTGTTAGGGGGCTTCGCAGATTTGATTAGGGGTGAGGCTCTTGTGAAGGGGAGATTGCTTTGGATTATCTGGGTGGAACCAATTTAATCAAATGAGTTCTTAAAAGCAGAGCAATTTTTCACTGCTGAGATCAGACCAAGGGGGTTAATCAAACTAAGATAAATATCAGGAGCTGCAACATGGCTCGCTTTGCAAACGGAGGAAAGTGGCCGCATGCCAAGGAATGTAGGTGGCTGCCAGAGGCTGGGAACTGGATCCTCTTCTGAAGCCTCCAAAAAGAAAACAGGCCTGCTGACACCTCGATTTTAGTGCAGAGTGGCCCATGTCAAACCTCCACTCTAGAAAAATATTAAGATAATCAATTTGAAACATTTTTGTTATGGTAACAATAAAAAGCAAACATACGGAAGCACAAATCCCCACACAAAAACACTCAGACATTGTTTTTCGTTTAGATGGAATAATTCATGATAGACCAATATTCTTATGGAAAGCTAGAAAAAATTACATTTTGAACTATAGAGAGGTGCAGAAAAGTGACTAGAGACACTACAATTTCAGAGGAAAAAAACAATTCAAAGTTGGATTGATGACACATGCTTCCATTTTTTCCTAAAATCATTGGCATACTCTGCGCAGGGGTTAAGAGGCTAAGACCAGGCTTGTGTCAGAACAAGGGACATTGATATGGAAGACAAACAACAAAAGTTTTGATGATTATGAAGAACAGAGTGATGACACTGGAGTTTGTCCCTCCACATAGGGAGGTTTTTCTCAATTCAATACTTAATGACTTATGAAGCTACAAGGGGCTGGGGAGTGTACAGTTAACCCCAAAACATCTGAAAAGCCAACTGGATATTCCCACAGTTTCATGGTGCTTAAGAGACAAAGATCTTCTAGCATTTGACTACACTAAAAAATATGATCTTGGTTCAGGCAAAGTTTATTTACAGGCTGGAGTACCCAGCAGAATATTTATGTGACCCACACCAGACTAAGGTAAAACTGAAGACTTGAAGGACAACTAAAATTTACTTGATAAAATTATGTCCTAAATTCTGAAGTTATGTCAGGTTGGGGGCAAACAAAATAATGCAAAATGACTGAAAATAAAAAGAAACACTTTACAATGAAATAGTATCCGAAACACAAATGTCTATTAGAAGAAAGACTTTGAGATAGCAGATGAAATTTGAAAGGTGTGAAAAGGAGAGAAATGACACTTAAATATTTGTAACCACATTTACCCAGAAGGCACCTGACTCCTGAGAATTTCTAGAACTGGTGTTGAATGAGAGAAACAAGCAGATATCTAGGTAAATATGTAGAGCTGGTATCACAAAAACAGAAACAAAAGGGAACTCAAATATGTGGTTATATAAAGAGGATAATGACTAGAAATAAAGAGTAAAAACGATAATAATCTATACCTATAAATCATATATAGTGTTTTAAACCAACATTACCCTAATTTTTGAAAAGTTGGGGTTTCCAAAAAATTTAGAATAACTTTAGAACTGAAAATTAAAGTCAAAATAAAAAATAGTGCATCAGTTTTATAGCCTACTGGTATTAGTAGAGTACAGATTAGTAAAATAGAACATAGATTCATAGGAAATACAAAAAGAGTGAAAACAAAATAAGACAAAGAGGAGTGCAGGAAACTTGTGGGAGAAAATAGTAATAACAACGTCATTAGATGCCCCAAAAGTGAGGAATACTGGAAGTCACAGAGCATATCTGGAAAGGTGATGATGGGCTAGAATGTCCCAATCTAATGTAAGACAGGAAGGTACAGATTCAAGAAGCGCAGTGCATCCAGGGCAGGG